GTTTGTTTGCCATCCGTCCATATCTTTGCTGTTTTACTATATATATTCATATACCCACATTGTTGCCAGCGAGCGATGACTAATTGCTTAACAAGTGGCTGCCAAAAGAGCGAAACCGAAATGTCTGTCAGTTGTTGAAGATTTGTCGCGCTTGTCAATATGATTAGCCAGCTTCAATTTGGCGGTCTATGGCCCGAAAGCGAATTTTCGCGGAATTTCAAAAAGCCAACAACAAATATGCAATGACTGCTATATACAAACATTTTGAATGCCCCAAGCGATAAGGCAGCAACAGCGTCGGCCACAGCCACAGCGACGCTGCAGTCGACGTCAACAGCGATGATGATGATGATGACGATGATGATGATCGCTGTAGACAATTGTTGTGCATACCCTAACTATAAATAGTTTGAATTTGTCATAGTCTTTGAATTTAAGGAATGAGCTGAAATTGATAATATTATTTAATATAAACTTGTTCTGAAAAAAAAAAATAAAAGAAAATAAATAAAAAAATAAAATAATAATAAATAAATTAAATATTCTGGGAAAATCTAGAACATTATTCATAAAATTCCTTCTCTATAGTTGCATTTAAAATAAAATTAAAAAAATAAATAAATAAATAAAATATTCTGGGAAAATCTAGAACATTATTCATAAAATTCCTTCTATATAGTTGCATTTAAAATAAAATAAAAATAAATAAAAAAATAAAATAATAATAAATAAATAAAATATTCTGGGAAAATCTAGAATATTATTCATAAAATTCCTTCTCTATAGTTGCATTTAAACAACAAAAATCATTTGAATTCTTTATATATCCAAGTATAATCGGATTAATTTACATTGACAGCTGAAAATATTTTGTTTAATTGAGGCAAAATCATTTTTATTTATACATATATACATAATTATATTCTAATATTTACTGGGCAATAAAATTTTTTACAACAGAAAATTTGCATTATTTGTTAGAATATTACAAACTTTTTTATTTATTTGTTCAATTATTTTTATAAATTTATCTTATTTTTTTTTTGGTATTTAAAAACATTTTGCATTCAATTTTTACTCATTTTTTTCGCGCAGTTGTAGTAAATATCTATCAAATTAAAATGTATTTTTTTATTGTAAAAAAATTATTTAAAAAAATAATAACATGTACTTAATTTAAAGTATTTAATTTAAAATTAAAAAAGTATTTTATTTTTGTAAAAAATTAATATTATAAATAAAATCATTTTTATTACATAATAATATGTATTTAATTTAAAATGAATTAAAAATAAATTAAATCAAACAATTTCAATTGATTAGCGTAACTAATTGTCGTCATTATGCATTTGCCTTGCCTTGGGTTGCTTGCAATTGTTGTTGCTCTCCTTGTGGCATTTGCATATTTTGAATGTTCGCGCGCGGCCTGCACGTTTTACAACGGCAACAACAACTGCGAAAATGTTATCGATGATTGCGAGGCGAGTTTTTACTGGGAGCAGAGCTCTGAGAGCTGTTTCTGTGGCTGGTGGGAGGAGAGTCATGATGCTGTCTTTGGGCTGAGGACCTTTTCATAGTTATTCTGTTTCTGTTGTTGTTGTTGTTGCTTTTGTTGTTGTCAAACAATTGTCACAACGTGTTGGCATTCACACGAACTTTATGTTTTGTCAACACCTCGCAATGTTTTTCCAATCGGCATGTCAAGGGTTAAAGCTTGGACTGGGCCAAGTCGATTGCACTCCATTAGCTAAACCGATTCAGAGGGCAGAGATACGCACAGAGAGAGAGTGAGAGAGGGGTAGAGAGAGGGGAAGAGCGAGCTGGAGTGGAAAATTGATTTGGCCTACCGCATTGCACGCATTAATAACGCATCTGAAGTGCTGTCAAAAATTGCAGCGGCAATTTTCAATCAAAGGAGGACCCATCGCATTCGCATTCGCATTCCTTTTGTCAGCTCCGAAGTGCATTGTGAAAAACCAACACCCGTTCTGAAGGGTTCCTCAACTCGGCTAATAATAATGAGCGGAACAGCGTCCATTGTAGCTGTCTCTACTGTCTCAACTCGCCTTTTTTTCCCTCCCCCCCCTTACTTATCATTATTATATTTATGGCACAATTTTGTTTTGGCATAATGCGAAGAGGTATATAAAAAACACTTGTGCCGTGGCTGACAAGCGGAATATCTTTTTTCTCGCGCTCCAGTGCTGCAGTCGCTTGGCGATCGTTGCTTGAATAGATCACTCAGTCGCAATGAATTATTGATGGACTGACAGCGAACAAAAAAAAAAAACAGAGGGAAAGAGTGAGAGAGCGGATGAGAGCGAGAGAGAGAGAGAGCGAGAGAAAGAGAGATATCTGTAACCTGTAGCTTTGACTTTAATGTGGCAGCCAAAGCGATCGATATGTTCAATCTTCAATCTGTGATCGTCGTTGTGACTTTGTCAACATTGCGTCCAGTTGCCCTCGCCCTGCCCCCCTGCAGCTGGTGCCTGCCCCTGGGCACTGTGATATATTGTTTCAGTAGCATTTTGTTAAACGTGATCAATTTTTAATTACCCATCAGCCCGTCGTCGATCGTCGCTCGTCGATCGCTGATCGCTGCTCGTCTCTGGTCGCTCCTTCAATCGCACCGCAACAAATGTAACCTGCACGTTTTGTCGCATGTCAGTCGAACGATTTATGCTGCGCGGGCTCCAATCGAGCCGACTGAGCGAGCGAATTTAATAAATGTATCTTGCGCCGCATTTGGAGTGCTCCTCAGTCCGCTCGATTGCAGCAAGGCTTTTTTTGGTCGAGACTGATCAGACTGCTGTCTGATTGAGGCGAGTTTGCCGGGCAGGCTGCCCCGGCGCTGAGCCTTGTGTGTGCGTAAAATTTTTAATTAGCTTTGTCTAATTAACACTTGGAACAGAGAACTGAACGGCTCGAAGCGTGCCAACTGAAGGCGTGAAGATCAAAAGGCGAAACCGGGCGATACAAATACCCCAGCTGAAATGAGCTGCAAGCTAATTGGAAGTATTAGCGAACTAAAGTTAAGGTAAAACTGATTCAAATAATGAAGAAATACTTGAGTTTAAGCATGATAGATGTAAAGGCGTAGTTTATTTAACTTTTATTTAAACACAAAACTTCTACTTCGATTCACTTTTTGTATACATAACATATTATGTAAGCTACTACCTTTCGATTAATTTCCGATTCCATTCCACCACTTACTCAAATCTCCTTCAAAGGCCACTCCATTCGCCTACTTCCAGCACTTGGGCTTAACAGCATCGGCGGCTCCTGCTAACAACATAATTTCTATATGCAAAGCCCACGCCCATTTGGCCAGCAAGAGGCAGACGTTCTGCTGGCGAGGCGCACAGTGTGCCCTCGGGTGCCCTACGGTAGGCAGCTAAATTAAAGTGAACGCCCACAGCACGTGCCACGGCAAAGAACAACAGAAGGAGCCAACTCCAAGTAGAGAACAGACCGGCAGGCAGCATCAGCAATCAGCAGCAACAGCAGCAGCAGCAGCAGCAGCAGCAGCAGCATCCAGCAGCCAAGCTGGCTGCCGCGGTCCAAAAACTTTTGTCGGGGATCCACTCGAACATTTTTGCCACTTGAGTTTTGTAGTAGTTGTAGCCCGGTCACGGCTGTTGGGGCACCTCCTCTTGCCGTTGCGTTTCTTTATTTATTTTTGGTGCACGCGCAGCAACAAATTAAAAAGTAATTCACAAGCGCTGCATAATTAGCTGCTAAGTGACACTAATGGCCCTTGCTAACGGATCGGCCTGTAGTTGCCAGCAGCATCACCTCAGAACTAACGCCCCCAAGCCCCGCCTCCATTGTACTGGCTGCACTCTCGGGCGCGCTGTGTGGGCAAACTAAAGTTTTGGGGGCACTTCACTTTGTTAATTGTTAGGGTATCATTGATGCCATGCAAAATGTGATTACTCTTATAAAATATACAAATATATATATATATTTTGTTATATGTTTTCATGACTTTGTATCTCTCGGACTCTATATCCATAATATATATATAATTTTTTATATTTTTATATCATTACAATCTTGATCCCTTTAACACATATCATCTTCAAAGATCAATCAAGTATTTATTTAAAATAATTTAAAGGGGTTCAAAGTGAATCAGCTCTATATAGGTTTCAATTCAGTTTATATTATTCTTAATTTTATATATTATACTATATGTCTATATGCCATTCAGCATTAAAGAGCTCACATAAGCTATATATATAATATTATAAGCTATATATATTATTATATTATATATCTATTAAAAAGCTCCTATAAGCTATATATATAATATTACAAGCTATATATTTTATTATATTATATTTCTATTTTTTTTATCATTTATACATATTTACCTTTCAGCCTTAGAGCATACAAGTTTCGTCTACCTCCGAAAATTTCTTCCAAAATTATTTTTAGCTTGCAAGTTTTTTTTTTTTTATACCCTGAACCCATTGAAAATGGGAAATCAGGGTATAATG